CTGAAAAAGTTTGAGACCACGATTAAAAAAGAAGCCACAAAAACAAAACATAGTGGGAAAAACAATGTTTAATACTTGGTACAGGATTCCTCTCCTTCCCAATTCATCACCAAACGATTATTGATGCTAATGTCTGAAATTCCATTTAATCGATGCAAGATGTGTGATTACCAGAGCCCCTTCGGCCGCCAATTTAAAGTCTTTTAATCTTTAAAATTGGCGTTTCCACTTCCCGGGACGAGGACCCAGGGGTTGGATTTGTGGGAAGCGAGTGTTCGTGTTGTTTCATTGTGTCGAATCACACAGAACGAAGCGCTTGACGTGTAAGTGCGTGAGTGCGAGAATTCGAGTAAAGGTTAAACGGTGTATATATATCTTCGTGTACAGTGATGTTATGCCCGTGCGTGTGTGTGTATGTGTGTGATCAAAGAACATCTTCGGCATGTCTATAAAAAGAAAAACAGTAAATTACGATAAGAGAATAAGACGTGTTAAAAAATGAAACGAAAGAGTTCTTACCATCGGAGATTTCGGAAAATATTCACTTGTACGATAAATGGCCAGCCACTTCGTCCTCTTCGTGGTAAAGTTGGGAAAGGAGATCCTTATCAGAGGCGGCGTAAGGCGTGGGTGACGTGGGCCACAGCCTACGGCCTCGACGTCCGAGAGGCCTCGCTCTTCGAAGGTTTATGCATTATATAAAAGCCGTGAACGCACAGAAAAATTTTACTCGTCATAAAACAATAAATATATTGACATACCAAATTTGTTTTTATTTAGTCTAGCAACATTTGCTGGCGTTGTGTTGCTATCGCGGGGAATCCTTGCCAGCCAGAGCTGGGGATTTCCCATTGTGTTTGTTTACGTTACTTTCACGATTCTCAACGGCTAGAAACCCAATCAAAGTATCGCAGTAAAGTATCCCGTAAATAGTGGAGTTAAAACTCTAATATTAAATATTAATCCCAGGGCATTTTTTACACTTTGCGATTGTCATAGCTGGAATCTGCTGTTGGTAGACGCAGCTAATTCTGTGGCAGCAAAAACATGTTTTGGTTTTATTCAGAAAATTTATTTGCTATTTTCAAGTTCCAGCAAACGCTGGGAATTAATCAAAGGCAAATTAAATCTTACTATGAAGTCTTTATCAGACACAAGGTGAGAAAGCAGAATAGAAGCAGTGAAGGCCGTATTATTGCAATTTGATGTTGAATGCATCGAAAGCTTAAAAAATCAAACGGAACAACCAGACACACTCAGTGATTGTGATTCGGTATTAAACAAAATGCTCAGTTCAGAATTTTTCATATCATTACATGTGTGGTATGAGATATTATCGCGTGTTAATATCATAAGCAAATTATGGCAATCTGTACAAGTCCATTTAAGCATTGCTCTTGAACATTTGCGTACATTTTGTGATTGGATCAAAGAATATCGACAAACTGGATCCGAAAAATGCTTTTCTGACGCTCGTCAATTTATTGAGAATAGCAGTTATGAACTGCCAAAAGACTTTAAAAATGAAAGGGTAGCCAAAAAGTTAAGAATGTTCGATTATGAAGGCAGCGATCAACGTATACAGTCTCCCAAAAGCAGGTATGAAACAGATTTTTTTAACACCATGATTGATTCTATAATAAGCAATATAAATACGAGATTTATATCTTTAAATCAACATTTTGAAACAATTTTAAATCAATAAATATAAACATGTACTACGGGCTATCACTTGATTTTGATGCTAGCTGAAGTATGTTGTTTTACACGTAACGAACGCATTTAATCGCTCAGTGTGCCTTTTTAATTAATACAAGGTATGCTTACCGAGAATTTTTAAAGCAATGTACCGGAAGCTAAAGGTTATAGAAAAGAAATGTTTNCCTTATTTGACATTTGATGTACTTTTAGTAAATATAAACATGTACAACAGGCTATCACTTGATTCTGATGCTAGCTGAAGTATGTTCTTTTACACGTAACGAACGCATTTAACCGCTCAGTGTGCCTTTTTAATTAATACAAGGTATGTTTACCGAGAATTTTTAAAGCAATGTACCGGAAGCTAAAGGTTATAGAAAAGAAATGTTTGCTTGACATAATGTATTGTATTAACTGAGCGAAGTGATCAATTTGATTAGACGAAAGAAAAAGAGATAGGTCGAAGAATGAAAGAAAAAGAATAGTGACAGAAACAGCCGGTATTACCAGGTCGTCTCCGTCCCAAGTACTGAGCGCGCCCGACGCTCTTATGCTCAGCTGATCGGGCGACAACCGGTATTAGTAGTTCGATTGTTTGACTACAAATTTGCAAGCTTTTAAAATTTGATTTAATATTTGAATTTTTTTGATTCATTATGAATCGTGTGCATTTTTTCTTTTTTCGTCATCCGTCATAACTGTTAGAAACATTCTTATTAATTATAAATTAATCTAAAATTGCGTAACTTCAATAAATATCGAATCTTTAACCTGTTAGTATTGAATTCAATAAGTTTTATTAAGTACAAGAATTTATATACAATGGTGAAAATTCCATGTACAATTTTAACTGTTGAAGTAATTTATAGTTTTGCTTTAGACATATATTCACTGCAATGTTAAAGTTCAACGTGGAAAATGGTTCCTCCCATTGTTCTGTGTTGAGATGTTTTACTAGTAGAACACCGCTAGAAATATTATAATTTGTTTTGGCCAGTTATAGTCGTTTAAACACCGCTTGTGTAGTTTTGCCACAGTAGATGTTCTATGGNTCATATTCATTTATTTTGAGAAATGAACAAATAAGATAACACGTACAAATTGCATATGAACTGCAATTTTCTTACCATAGTAATATTGAAACATCATTTATTTCTCTTTCTGTGTATAGCTCTGTGTGAAGCAAACTAAATACATAATAGAATCCACTTACTGTAATGGTTTTGGGACTTGCCCGTACAGATGACAATAACCAGTGATGCATTATCCTATGGGCAAAAAGGGCAATTCCTTGGGGTCTCTCTCCACCAACAGGACATTCCAAACCAATTTTTTATATGAAAATATTTCCATCTAAAAAAATTCCCCGAAGAAAAGTGTCTGAAGTCAACATTGTGCATGGGGCCACCTAATTCAAATTTGCATGNTACTGTAATGGTTTTGGGACTTGCCCGTACAGATGACAATAACCAGTGATGCATTATCCTATGGGCAAAAAGGGCAATTCCTTGGGGTCTCTCTCCACCAACAGGACATTCCAAACCAATTTTTTATATGAAAATATTTCCATCTAAAAAAATTCCCCGAAGAAAAGTGTCTGAAGTCAACATTGTGCATGGGGCCACCTAATTCAAATTTGCATGGGTCTCGTGTAAGCTATAATGCACTACTAACAATAACCAATTGGTAGGCTTACCATAATATTTTTTTCTCAAACTGGGGCAATTATGAGAAAATACTCACAGCATAAAATAAAACCTACTAGGATAAGTTCCTATGACTGAAAAGGCTAAGCAAAGAAGTTGTTAACAAAAACTAATGAGTTAAAAATAATTTTTAATAACAACTCAACTGAACATACCTTATTATTAAGAAGTTATTAATATTTATCACTAGTGTAAACTTTATTTAAAAATTCTATGTTATTTTTAATAGCATCGAAATTTAATGCAATTTAAATCGGTATGTTTAAATATGACAATACAAGTATATTTGAGGAAGTTGCTTCCACTGCCACTATCCTTGCCTTATGTTTCACACATTTCAAGAGATTTTAATGTTTGAACACTCAACACAAGTTACTGAAAATTCTGAAAAGCACAGTTCACATTTCACTTTGTCAATACAATTGCAAACTTTTTTTCAAAAACGAATAATCCTGTTTTAATTCATCAGTAAACACAAGGTTTCTTTTAGGCATTTTTGAGATTAAATTAATTTAATGCACAATACAAAATAATTGCAAATGCCGACTAGCAATTCAAACTCGACTAAGATAGGACGTGTGAAACAATGACGTGCCAGTGTAAGTTTTAGTATTGCCAACTCTAATTGAAACAAAATATGTAAAAAATGAAAATAAAAACGTCCAGATCTCATCAACTACATGCTATTATAATTTCTGTGAAAAATAAAACATCTAAATTCATGAGGCCACATGCTATAAATTTTGGGGGAAAATATCTAGACAACATTAAAAGTACTTAGGTCTAGATACAAAATATTTAGATTGGCAACAGTAAGTGTAATAGAGGGGATATTTTAGTTATCAAATCACAATTTTACCCAAGGCTGCACTATTTTTACTTCTTGTATATTTGGCACTTGTAATATGTATTGTATTAAAATGTTAAAATGTAAAATATTAGTGAGTCCGCCAGGTGGCCATCGTTGCTGATGCATCACGGGAACGGTACCTGAGCGCTCACTTTGGTTGTAACCTCGAGACAATAAATATAACATGGCGCAGTCGACAAACGTTTAGAGAAAGACGAAAGATTCTCCCGTACTGGATTCAACATGTCCACGTTTCAAAATCTTCCTCCTCCAAAACCAATGTTGGTAGAAGGTGACTTAGGAGCGAATTGGAAGAAATTTAAGAAAAGTTACCTACTTTATTCGACGGCGACCGAACTCACGACGAAGAACAATGAAACTCAAGCCGCCATCTTGCTCCATTGTTTGGGAGAAGATGCACTAGAAATTTTTGAAACATTAGAACTTAGTGAGGAAGAAGCGAAACAGCCGAATGTAATTCTAGAAAAACTCGAGTTGTATTTTATTCCGAAAAGCAACCAAAGTGTTGAGAGTCACAAGTTCAACACTCGTGTGCAAGGACTGAGCGAAGCCTTTGACGATTTTTTAGCAGACTTACGTAAGCTATCGATAAATTGTGAATTTGGGAATTTACGAGATCGATTATTAAGAGATAGAATTGTGAGTGGTATTCGTGATCAGAAGGTAAAAGAACGTCTACTGCGAGAAACGGAGCTATCATTAACAAAGGCAATC